TACTATGAATTTACCACACCTATCACTTTTGACTTAAAATCAGAAAGAAGCACTGTGTCAGTTCACTTGTCAAGAATCCAACAAATAGAAAATTACCTTATGACCCATGCCCATACTACTGAAGGAGGCTAGTTACCCAAGGAGCCAACCACTGCATGAGCATCTCATACAATGAATCTCCCTCAACCCTTTCCCTTCCAGGAGTGACCAACAAGTAATTTCTCCTTATAATATCCATATGTTTTTAAGGAAAAAGTTATAAGAAGAAAGAAAAACATCAACAAGAGGATATAGCTTGATTAAACATCAAATTCTCAGAACTATTATCATAAGAAACATATAGGGGATGGTAGAGAGAATAAAGATTTAGATCTTGGGAGCAAAATGGTTAAATGCAATGATAGCTATAGGAACTTCTATTTTGCAGAGGTAGCTAGGTCAAGTAGTCAGGAAACTAAATGGTGGTTCCCGGGGCAATGTCTCCTACTCAGCTGCTCACCAAATTTAGTCTAGGTTATTCCCAGTTCCACTCCTTAGCTGTGCTCTGCAATTTCACACCCAGCTGGTCTGCCTAAGATCAGTTGGGATTTTCAACCAATTTTTTATTTTATATAGAGTATATGGTGGTAAGAAGACTTCTATCTATCATGACTGCAGCTTTAACAGTCATTTGTGATATCATCATTGTCATTATTATCATCATCATTGCACAACAATCAACTGGCAATTACCTCATTACGTAATGTTTTCAACAAGCAGTCAAGTGTTCCTTTAAACACCGCCTCCTGCCCAGGTTTTGGAGATGGGGTTGTTTGAATGCGAACCTATTCAGTGGAACAAAATCAAAGTAAACATGAATTAATCTTTCTTAACATTTGTCAATATGGTGTGTTTATTCCCGAATGAAATTTAATTTTAAACCTTATTTCAGCTTCAAGAGCTTCTTAGGACAGACAACTAATTGTCGTTTTACCATTGAGTCTCATTGTTCAATGATAACGTTTTTTCAAACGAGTATACATCGTTCCTCCCACGGAGCAAACCAGTACAATCAGTATTTTGTTGAAAATTGAATCTCATATGGACATTACCCTTAGTCTGAAAACCACGATCATTATTAACTTTGATCTCTTATTGAAGTGGGCGGGGCACAAGGTATTGATCACCGAAAAAAGGTAACAGCCACGTAAATAAACAATTGAAGACAAAGATTCATTGCAAACCGTAAGTGTAAGTAATGCTCACCTTGATCGTATCAAATGGATGTCCTATTGTCACGCCACAAACTCCACCAAAACCTCCAGCTAAAAAATTTCGTACTCCGGAGGTACTCCTTCCTTGCTGCACTTTACCTCCGGATTCTATTCTAGCTGTAGAGGAACTTTCCATTTGCCGGCTGAAGGGGAAGGTCTTTGCTTCGACGCTATCTTGGGTTTCATAGTGACTGTCACGCCAGAGTAAGCATCCGGTTGACAGACTGGGAGCTAGTCCACTCAATCCCTCCCGGTCGCTGCGAGTTCTTACAGTTGTTGGATATTATAAGAACTGCTGAGGTTGCACGTGTTGAAATCATTCTAATTTCTTCGCATCTGAGACAGCATCTCTTTAAATATGTCTGAGGTAAGAGAGTATTGTTTGTAAAAGTTCACTTCTTCCGCAGTCCAGATCGTCCCAGAGATTTTAGCACAATGTGTTTTGCTTTTTCGGCAGGCCTTTAAGAAAGCAGCTGATGAGGTGAAGAAGTTGTCGAAGCAACCTAGCGATCAAGACATGCTGGAAGTTTATGCTCTTTACAAGCAAGTTACCGTCGGAGATTGCAACACAGGTAATAAAACAAATTATTGCCTTCATGTTGTTTCAGATCGTGGCTGTTGATGGTTTTAGAGAGCTACTTAACGGTAATTTTCAGACGAAAACATTCGTCAGTCACTGATCCTATGACCCTGTCGCTATAATAACCTTTGATCTTATTTTGTGATTTCATCGGACTTTAAACCTTACCAAGCTTTGTATTGCAGTTTCCTTAACAGACAAAGATCTAATTGGTCTTCTTTGGTCTTATGAATGTTAAACCAGAGTAAACATGTTATTTGCGAGAGTTTTCTGAAATGCCCTTGAGAGACCTTATACCATAAACACGCCCCTTAAATTTCTCAATCTTTGGGCATTGTTTTAAGAAATCCAATTGATATAATTTTATTAAATTTTCATCTGGCTTATAATTCGTTTGAGCTATTGCATTTATTTTTCTCATGAAGTTGAAGCACTCTCATTGGCTTAAACCCACAGAAAAAGGAGAAAAAAATTTTTCCTAACATATTTTCCAATGTCATGGTATATCTCTGAATGCAAATGAGACTGATCATGACACATGCTGTCTGGCCTGGTAGGACTAAAGTCGTGCTTCATGGAAGTTAACAATTATCAGTCACAGAAGCCGCAAAAATAAGGCTTTTTTATGACAGGGTGAGAAGAGGCATAACATATGATTTAGTGAATAAATTTTATTTGAGACTGAAGCAGCAAGCTTGAGTATTAACCCATTACACCCTAAGAGTGATAAGCAACTAATTTCTCCTTGCTGAATCACTCATTAAGGTCATGAGAATAAAGAAAATGATCACCAATTAAAGAAGCTCTTGATTGTTAATCCTCTAGCTCCCAAGATCTGATTGTTAATTCTCCCCTGTAGCTGCTACACATTTCCTTGTAAATTAGTTATGAGAACTTGTTGCTAGGTCAAGATAGCAGCTTCTACCTGATAAGTTTGAATATTCTCATTACCTGTTTGCTGAATAATGGATGGATATTGTGGGGAGAAGTTTTGTGTTAATCACTTCTGGGAGATGAAGGGTTAAACAAATTCTCCATGTCAGCACCTTAAGAAATGTATAAAAAACAGTATGGAGAATATGCATACTGATATTAGGGTGTAAATGGTTAATCCCTAGCACCCATAAGTGACTAAGAGAGAATTTCTCCTCACCATATCAATACAACATTAAGCAGAAAAGTAATGAGAATATAGAAAAATATCAATTAGGGGATTGTTAGTTGGTCTGATACCAAATTCTCTGAACTAACATCATAAGAAGTCTATGGCAGGGAACAATAGGAATTATTAATGAGATTTTGGGAGTGAAAAGATTAAAAAGATGGCATCTCAGGCATCTTAAGAGGGAAGATATTGGAAAGGTAGCATCACAAGCAAAGTCATGTGGTGCTCTTGTTCAGTTTAAATTGATGGTAAATTTTTTTGCAAACTGGGGTAGAACTTGTGAAAAACTGGAAGCAGAGCTGTCAAAACTCAATTGTTCAAGGTGTAGACGATCCAATTAACATGGGACTGTATACCAAGGACTATAATTTCAGTATGACAAACTTAAGTATTTTGCTCAAGAACTATTCATAGTCTTTTAAGACTGATATAAATGTCTAATAAATCCTTGAATTAGCATCTTCCCTTGAAAATGTGCCTCCTTCACAATAATTTTAAGGCAAAGTCTTATTCTAAGAACATCTAAGTTTAGCCAAAGGCGTGAAATGCTGTTATTTGTGAGCAGTGTTGAGAAGGTCACTATTATGGTACAACTGAAAAACTAACTTATAATTAATATACTATTATCCAAATAAAAACTTTTTATATCACTGATGAAAGCTGCTTTCCTAGAATGCTGTATCTCATTCAAAGCTATAATCATGCAGTTTACATTTAAATTTGCTAAAATAAAAAACTTTTGATCAGAGTTCATGAAAATGACTGTTCAATGGCAAAGCACCTCAATAGTTGGTGTGGGGTGATAGAAAAGCCAGAATTCCTCAGTTGGTACAAAGTAAGATCATTTCGTGATACAAATCAAGATTGTACATATTCAGGGATCAATCCATGTCAAGTTTTGTGCATCATAACAGAGTTTGGTACTAGTCTTTGAGGTTTTGCCAGCATCTCATCAATATCCTCCTCATTGTTTGTGCACAGTAAAATACAGGCTTCCCAGTTTTAGAGCTTTTGTAGTTTTTCACACAGGCTGATACCACAGTTGTCCAAAATGATGTCCCAATAAAAGGACAAATTCACAAAGGATATGTCAATAATCCTCATATTCTTACTCAGGCTTGGGCCAATGCAAACTGTTATTTCAAGTTTTAAAACCCAATTTGTATTAACTGCAGTTCTGATGAATGTAAACAATTGTTTTCAAATTTTATGGTGTAGTATCTAAATAATTTCCTTGCAATCTTTCTCTTATTGGCAGAAAGACCTGGATTTTTAGATATGACTGGAAAAGCCAAGTGGGATGCCTGGAATGGCAAGAAAGGTACTGCAAACTATTGTAATATAAAATCTAAGCTAAAAAATGCTTATTCAAGGTAGCATTGTAAGCTTGGGAAACAGCATATAATAAAATTAAACTTTGTTATGGAGTATTATAACTGTTTGTCTCACATTAAAGCTACTTCGGATGTGTTTCAGGTTTTTTTTCTCACTGTTTACTAAAAGTCTCAGGGAAAGATCTGTTCCCTATCCCTGGCAATCAACTTATAATCGCTTATTTAATAAATGGAACACCAAACAATTCTCACAGGAATTGAGATTGTGATTGATATAGGCACTAATGCAACTAACATTTTCTAACTGGCGCCTGAAAGTTCTGGTCAAGTAGCCGTCTTGGTGACTTTACTTCTGTATGTTCTAAAATAAGATTTAAACTAGTCAAGTTCAACAGGTACCTCATATTTTCTAGTTTTACTTCCATCTTCAGAGAAAAAAAAAAGGAAATGTGCAAAAATAAAGTTTGTTGACATTGAACAACTCCACATTTTAACATGCATTATGTATAGGTGATGTCTGTTGCTCTTTTTCATATGTTGTTGTACAGCTAAATTTGTGGTACTCACAGGTACATTCAGATGCAGCTTTTAAATTTCATTTTTGGTGACCATTTTGTGCTTCTTAGGTGCCAAAAGGTGATTAAAGAATATTTTTTCATTCAGGACCCTGTCTCAACGATACTTGCTAATTTTCACAGTAATTTCACTTGACTTATTACTCGTCAGAGTAATTGTTGTAACCACAATGCTTAATTACAGCTGACATGTTACCTATAAGACTCAGTTAAATTCATTCCCTCTTTGGTAATTCTCTTTTGGTAGCTTACCATCTGCGCAAGTTGCAAAAAAAGACAACTCAAAACATTGCTGACATTACCCCTTGTTAACGTGTCACATTTGCTACTTTTTCTTCCACCAGGTACACCCAAAGCAGAAGCTGAAGCAGCCTATATTGCAAAGGTGGAGGAACTGAAGAAAGCAGATAGTTGATTTGTATTGGAAATTAAAACTTTGTTTTCCAGAAATTGGTAGCTGTCGTATCTGGGTGTGATACACTTGTATCTATAACACTACCACTTATCACAGATGAACATGCATAAGAATCAAATGTTTCGTGTGCATTCTTTCCTGTGTGTGTATTGCTCTAAGTCTTTTTATGGAGAGTTTTTCTCAGTAACGAGTATTTCTGGTATTACTTTCTGTATTTCATATGATTTCTAAGTGCGTGAACTTAGGACAGCACTGTTACATATTCTTCCTTCCAATTTACCATTTCCTCACCCCTCACATTTTTCCTGGAGCTTCGTTTGCAGATAACCGTTCGCATCGAGGACTAGTTCATGTCTGCGGACAAATATCCGTTTATATTTTCGTGCCAAATCGAGGCTGTTGTTTATTTATACGAATCTCCAAGTTTCTTTGGGATTGCGGGTAGATTCAAGGTATTGGCAATGTTCAATTCTTAGTTGTAGTCAACTTTGAACATCAACCTCATCTCGAGGACGCTTATTCTTTCAAGCTATTAACAGGGTTTTGAGGGCCTTCACCCTGGTGCGAGTTCGCCCCTTTCCAGTACTCCTCCAGCACGACGAGAAAAACCTATTCCATATTGGAATTTTAAACTTGAGAGCGCCCCAGACGATGTTTAATTATCGACTTCAAAGTTCAGCAAACTACGAAACCTGTTTTAAGCGGTAAACCTGTATTAACCCACTACACTATAAGAGTGATAAGCATCTAATTTCTCCTTGGTATATCACCCCTGGATCACACATTTAGGCCATGAGAAGAAAGGAAATGGTCACTAGGGAAGGAACCTTTTGATTGACAATCAAATTCTCTTTGTCAGCACCTTAGGAAATGTCTAAAGAACAGTGTGGAGAATATTCATACTGATGTTAGGCTGTAAAGGGTTGAGCGGCTATTCCCCGTGGGTGACCGCATGATACAGGCTTAATAATTTAAGGCCTTTGGCAACACGAACCGGCACGGGTCTGTTAGGGGCCTGAGCAATGACAATGCTAGCCCCGCAACAAAGCTCTTCCCGACTCCGGCGACTTGGAGGAGCGCATGTCTCCCAGCGATGATAATGAAAGCCTTCTCGCGGCCTTTACGATTTTGAAACGTTGAGAACGTTAAACATGCTTAAAAAATTCTCGTCTATTAGCCTCTTTAATATTATGCTTGCAAGGAAGTTTTTAAAAATAAACATAAGTAACCTATAATCCGCTAATGAGTGTCGACTCAGGCCCTTTAAAGTCGTTGGCAGAGTGTGGTCCCAAATCCACTGAAACACCGGCGCTCCTCTTTACGCTTTGCGTACCATGAATTTTTTCACACCTTAATTTGTAGACAAGTCTTCGCTTCGCCGAACGCATTATTTTTAACTTATATTTTAATTAAGTTTTAGCTTTATAAATATTTTCACCACAGTCATTCCAAATTAAAGATTGCTAATGAAACCATTTGTATAGCCCTGTCTTGTTTCTTTGGAATTAGTCAGGCTTACTTTTCGATTCCATTCGTTGAATTATTTTCTTTCCGACGTAGATTTTTCTGTTTCGGCACATGTTGATAAATTAACCCATTCAATCCTCTCATGCTGCGATTTTTTTTGACAGAAATCCTTGAACTTAAAATCAAACCAAAAAATTGAACAAAATTACTTATGAAAAAAAAAATAATTTGAACTAGGCCAGTTGTCATTACCTGTTCCCATTGTTTTCTCAGCTTTGTTTGCCAGCAGGTGTCGAGTGGAAAAAAATTAGCTCCTGTGGTTTCGTTTTGTAAACTCGGTTAACTCTGCTACCTTTTCTGAATTTTCCTATTCGTGTGCACGGGAGAGAGATGGGGACGAGTTACATTGCTTGGAGAAGGGGACTGGACGGCATGGCTATCTTCCGCCCGAGATCAATGAAAAAATCACGAACCGCTTATCGACTGGGATGAAAGCCATCGCAGCGGTGTCGCAGGAGTGAAAATTATTCCAGAATGAATTAGTTTTCTTCCTTGCGTTTATTGAAGTTTTGTATTATCGGCAATGAAAGTTTCGGCCAACTTTTCCTGATTTTCCCCCAGGTGCGGAGCTTGCTTAATTTTGCACCAATGTAAGGCTGCTCTAAACCTTTCACCGAACGTTTCCTACAGGGATAGCTTTAGATCCAATACTATTCAATTCAGGATCCATACCCGTGATAAAAATAGCTTCAGCACGATTATTAAATCCTCGTCAATATTTTAATTTTTTCCTCTTTTATTTCGTGTGTTAACTGGAAGCAGCCCACTCGTAACGGAAGTCATAAGTGTTGGGCGGAAACGGAAATGGTACCAGCCTTTTTCCGGATCGATTCACGAGAAACCTGCGAATAGAAAGAGTACTTTTTCAGCAGTACCATTTCCTAAATTATACTTCATTATTCTATCTCTTTTAATGAAGGATCTCACGTTTACACACTTTTTTGTACCTAATTGTAATTTAGGAATGTTAGTAGCGATGTAGACTAAAAAAAAATAATATTGTCAACAGTATATCGCCTGATCTTCCTTTTTATCTCTTCAGTATTGTCAGTATTGTACGGATCTACACTTGTGACTTGCAAACTTTTCAGTCAAACTTTTTCTATTTGGTCTGCATTATTTTTAGAGTAATTTTTTGAATCTAACAACAAGGAAAGTGAAATCATAGCTAACCTACAATCAAGCCTTCTTTTCTTCGAGGGCGCTCAAATCCAGCGATCTTTTTACCTCTGTCCGTCTTGCCACACTATCGCAGTCCTTCAAATAAAAAGAGCGCATGCGAAACCAAACTCTTCTGAGCTGCAAATAAATTAATAGCTGTTTTTGGCTAGGAACAACCTAATCCCTGTTCATCTGAGGTTTTTCGTAAGCGCGTAATACTTTCCCAGCCTGGCACCATTCTTCTGGGGAAGTCGTCAGCTGCATGCATGCAATGTTTCGGAGCCAAATATAGCAACTGAATCGACATCTTTTTTTGCTGCTTACCTCACGCACATCATTTTTGAAACTCAATTTCTTGCCAGCCGGGCAAGGCGTGATCGTGTCTGAAATTCGTTATAAATGCACACATGTTGAAACGAATTTCCATTGAAATATCTAAAATTGCGATCGCATTATACATGAGAGGAAGTTTTGGTTATACAAATGACTTCATCAGAACCGTGTCACTGAAAGATAAGAGATTCTTTGTAAGCCGATATTTCCCACATAAAGCTTCAATAGATATATTGGCTTGGATTGAATAATATATTACAAAAAATGATTCTTCATGTAATGGTCTTAAACAAGGCAAATGTAAATTTGCAAATTTATCTTGCCTGGGGCCAATATTTTTAAGCGATTGTTTTCACCGGCCTAGCTGTCACGCATAACAAGAGTTTGATATCTGATTTTAGGCATGATAAAATCTTTTCAAGATAATACTAGTTAGCGCTGTAAGTCAGTGTCTCGCTTAATTGAAAAAGAGGATTAAAATAAGAATCAAAATTATCGCTGATTGTGAGAAAATTCTGAAATTAAGATATAAAACTTGTTTCAGGGCGTTTGGAAGTGGAAGTCTAATCATTGATTGCCGAAACGTCTGCCACTAAGTCCTTGCTAATTTACGATCTTTGCACAGAAATACGGATCTTGATCTCAAGAATGTGAAGATTTCAAGACCCGATAAAAGGATTTTTTGAGAAAAGCCGAGGTTCTAAAACCGCAATTTCGTTGTGACTTCCGGTTCGTGGTTTCTGCCCTGCATTTTAAGAGTCGCTGATTCTTTCATTGTTCCTACGATGCAGACGTGTGATATAATTGGCAGAATTCTGCAGCACTTTTGAAATGATTATTCACACTTATTTATTATGTTATTAAATCGAATATTGTTTACTTTACAGTAATGTGATTGGCTTGGCGGGGCAAGAAAAAGTTGCCTTCATTTCGAAACGTCGAAGGTATTTCTACCCACAATGCTCTGCGTCAACCGAGGTGGACATAATGGCCGACTTGGAGCGATCGATCGTTAGGTGAATTCATAGCGTTATCTGGAAAAATGATCGGGAAATAGCTGTCGTAACAGTCGAGAAGTCATCTTTGTACACTAATAACTCTGTAGGGAAACATCTAAGCAAGGCTTGGGGCCATTTTGGAGTCGTTTGGCCGTATGGAGTAAATTTACCGGCAATCATGTTGTACGCGTACGAGGAATATTGCCGATGAATCACATACGAAACTTGGTCATTTATTGCAGATCGCCGAGGTTTTTGTGAAATTTTGCTACGACAGTCATGAATCCTGATCCCAGAGAGTGTAATATCAAGGTTTTTGCTCGGTTTCGGCCACAATCCGACGCAGAAGTTCGGGCAGGAGGGGAGAGTGTTGTTTCAACTCCAACTTCGGATACTTGTGTTCATGCGGTGAGCCAACCACTTTCTATCATAATTGATTCGCAAGGTTTTTTGTAATAATCCCGGTATTACTTTTGACGTCGAAAACTTTTCATCTTTGTCTTGTGTGTTTTAGGGAAGAACATACACCTTTGATCGCGTATTCAAGTCCAACACATCGCAGGAAAGAGTTTATTTGGAAGCTGCCCAGGTCATCGTACAAGGTAGATTGTGTAAATGGTTCTTATGCAAAACCTTTTTTTTTGTTATTTGGTAGCCGAGTGGGGTAATAGTTTACACCAGCGTCGAAAACAGGATTCTTAGAAGCTGCCTTGCCTTCTAACCGTTAAGGATTTAAGGTCTTTGAAGTTTACGAAACGTGATGATAGGATATTGTATGCAGTCAACGGGCCTTTTTGTCTGTTTTCAATTTAAGTTTCAGCGCAACGCTTTCTGCGACTGTAAAAATGTTTCATACTTTCAGATGAATCGCAGTGTCTACGTGGTCCGCAAAATATAGATAAAACAGTGATGTTAACACAAGGTTATTCAGGGAACGATCTTACCTAAGAGCAGCCATTTTAAAGTAGTTCTCTCTTCCTAGCTACTTATTGCTACCTAGCAAAAATGTTTTCATAATTTTGCTTACAAACGAGTTAAAATCTGTCGCTGTCATCCAACAAAGATTTATTGGTTTTTCGAGCACCTGAATAAACAGTGGTAACGGGAATCAGTGCTTTAAATCTTGTCTAAGTTAAAAAAAATTGTTACTTGACCGTCAACTTTACAGTCAAGAAATTGTCAATATTCCTTTTGGCAGCAGATTGCAGTTGCCATGTTCTTCACGAGTTTAGACCTGTATTATTAATTCATTTACTGTGGCTTTGATTTTGCATTGGTGGCTTATGAAAGACATATATCGGATTTCTTTTGTTGATAATTTGGGGAGTTAGAAGTGCCCGGCCTCGTATTTAGTCTATCTCATTAGTTTCTTCTCGTGAGGTTTTGAAATTCTATGCGCGGTTCCAGTGGACACACTCGTTAGGTAAACAACTCTCTTGGAGAGAAAGGAGAATCATTTGAATATGTATAACCATAAAATTAACAATTCTAGGTACAGTTTCAGAGAGACTTAAATATTGAGGAGAAAGGCTGTATTTCGTCGACATCTAGAGTCAAAGCATTAATTGGAGTGTTTAGGAGATTTTTCGTATTGTTCCATCGTGAGCCATAGTACTACCTAACACTCGTGCAATAAACGATCTTTACATATTCGTGTTTGATCACATGGTCTCACTGAAAGGGTAGTTTTCTCTTTCTGTGTCCTCATTTTGTTGAATTAATTTCTAATGTTTTGCCTTTTCTTGGCTTCTTTTTCGAATCAATTGAATTTCGAACCTTTTCGCATCAATGGAAATCAGATTGTCTTGCGTATTTAGCCCTGTTTTTGAACAGCTCTGTAATATTCTAGATGTGTCCCAAATAGTTGAAATGTTGTTTCTTTTCGTATGGTAATTCATGCCAGCTAAAACCTTGTTATGAAAATCGATCGCTGATCAGTGAGATCTGATAAAGCAACCTAGATGAAGGGTGCCCTAATTTTTTTATAACCAAATTTCTTTGGCTTTCGACGATCGATATAAAGCTAATTTTAGCACGAGTTTTGCCGTTTATTTGATTAATTTTTCCTTTGAATTTCTGGGATGATATAAAGTACTTCACGAACATAAATTCGAACTTTGGGTGGAATGTGTGAATGAGGAAAAAAGGTTACAGGTCGAATTTTTTGCGTTTTGTATTTTTCTTTGAAATGGTTTCTCGAACATTCATTCCGTTTCTTAGCTCTCTTAAGATTAGCATCATAATTAAGGTACTTTTGAATATTTTCCAGACAGATACCCATTATGTACACAGAAATCTTCACACACAATTCAGTTTTGCATGCACTGTAATCAATTTCAAGAAATTTACATAATTTACATGTAAGTTACACTATAATTTTCTCTGAGGGGTATCTTACTTGAAAAAAAAGGTTTATTTTGCTTTGGGAGCAGATCGAAATATGACTTTCTGGTAGTCATTATCTCACTCAGAAGAGTTCTCTAAAGAATATATTTTCCCTCAAGGGAAATGAGTTGGTATACAAATTGTTAAGACTAATTTTTAAGTGTTTGGTATTGGCTATGCCTCAACCTGTATTTACCAAGTTTAAACCAGCTCTTTTTTTCAAGTGCGAGGAAAGATGTGCTTTTTTTTTCTTGATCATGTGAACATTTTACATTAATTTTGTGAATTGAGGAGAAATTGAGAATTGTACTTTTTTGATTATTATTGCAAACTTTGTGTTGAAGCTCCATTTCTGCCAGCTTTTAAGTGTATATCAATGAATTTTGTTTTGTACACAAGATAATACAGATCAAACAGTATTGCACTCTAAATTGGCATCAGTCTCATGAAAGCATGAATTCAAATGTCACCTTGCATTTACACTTGAATCTGGAAAAAAGTGAAGTTTGTTTGGTGTAAGGTAATGCTTGAGAGCTGCATACAGCCTCTGCTAGGGGTCCTTGGCTTGATTTGAGTAAAGTGTATCAGCATATCTGCATGATTTTCTGAACATCAATTTAAGAGTCATAATTTCAAGGTTGTTCTGTGAAGAATTCTGTTTTAAAATCTATCAAAGGAATAGATTGCTAAATGTTGCCTGTGCACCAATTTCAGAAAACATTTTTGTTGTATTTTTGTTCGGATAAAAGTATGTTTCCTTTAAATATTTCAAGATATCAGCAGGTTAGTTACAGCAGACTGGAACAGTTGAAATCAATGTAGTTGTTTTTGTCTATGGAATTACCTTTTTTCGTTCAAAATTAAAAAAAGCACTTTTATAGATTTTCAGATTGATGATGGTAGGACCTTTCATTTTAAAAAATATGTTCATGAGACTGATTATATAGAAAGCTACATGCATGAATATTTATTTATTTAATTATGTCTTACTGATTACTAATTACCAACCTACAGGTAGGGTGTGATCTGAGAATGTTTTAAAATTTTTTAATTTTATTTGAAACTTGTTTACATACTCTGGAGAGTTTGCCTTTTTTTTTCACGATGAACAAGTTGGTTTCCTTTCTTGAAAGCCTGATGAAGTTGTCTAGACAGAAAACAATAAGAAAGCATAATTGTTCTTGAAATTTTTGTTATTACACTTAACGAGGGCATGCAAGGCAACCATTAAAATCATTACTATTTTACACTTGTGTCACTCAGACGCACTGCTTCATAAGCCTTTTTACTCTGGGATATTTTTCCTTTGTGAGTTCTAAAATCTTTTGTTTTTTGTTCAATCACAGAATATTCTGTGGTTGATATTTTTTCTCATCTCTTTACACCCTAACATCAGTAGGTGTATCCTCCATGCTGTTCTTTTAAAAGCTTCTTAATTTTGTGATTATATCCTTTAGTCCTGTGGATTTGATATGTGATTCTGGGGTGATATTGCAAGGAAAAAAAAGTGGATACTTGGTACTCTAAACCCTTTCACTCCCAAGATCTAATTAGTAATTCTCCTTACTATCTGCCATACAATTCTTATAATGTTAGTTCAGAGAATTTGGTATTGGATCAACTAATAATCCCATAATTGATATTCTTCTCTATTCTCATCACCTGCCTGCTTGATATTGTATTGACATTGTAAGGAGAAATTCTGTCTTGGTCACTTGTGGGAGTGAAAGGGTTAAGAGTCAAAGGGTTGAATTTGAAAAAAAAAATCAGCAGTCAATTGACATTTCATAATTGATATTTTTCTTTACTGTACCTCTCTGTCTGCTTTAGAATTTATTGATACTGAACATAGGAGTTTCCTGAAAGGTCACTTTTGTGATGTCTCACTTCTTTTGATACAAAGTGGCAAAGTAAATCAAGGTCAACCCTCATTCCATTGTAAAGTGCTTTGAAATGTAACCAGGCCCAAGTGTAGGAGATTTGGTGGCCTGGTCCTTAGTGTAATACTTGTATCTAACCCCTGGCTCGGTCATTGTGGTGTTGGGCAGGACTCCAATTCTTGCAGTGCATCTCTCCACCCCTGACTGAAATAGGGCACTGGGTTCAGTTGTATAAAGGGCAGATAATGCTATCCAACAGAAAAAATCGCTCTCCAGCGGATAAGTAATGGCAAAACATATAGCAATATCCACTGAATAGAGATTTATCAAGTAAAAAGTGTTATCCAACCTTCAAACAACCAGGACCTGGTAAACTACCAGAGAAATTAACAAGTATACAGGTGTAACCTTTGATTCATTAGCATCCTAATGGATAAACCACTATCCAGAGGATAAGTGGATGCAAAAAGCACTGCGCTGTCCACTGGATGGAGATTTATCCAGTGGATAGGCTTATCAGAAAAGAAATCCAGTTTCGAATTGAGCTCTGGTTGGGTCAGTTGGGCAAGACGCTTACATGTAACTCTCTCAGTTCCTTGCCTTATACAAGAGTATGAGGTAAATTGGCAGCATTAGGATAAATGAATTGCAATGTGTTAATAGTACAAGGGAAACTAAACATTACAAATTGCGGATAGCCTCTGTGCATAACTTTCACTTAGCTGGAAAATGCATTTTTTCAGTTTTGAAACAATAATTTTGTTTTTTCACAGATGTGCTCAATGGATACAATGGGACAATATTTGCTTATGGACAGACATCCAGTGGGAAAACCCATACAATGGAGGTAAGCTATGAATTAAAGATTTCTTGGTTTTCAAGAAAATGTGACAGTCACATTTGCAACCTATATCATACACAACTTTATTAGTTAATGTGGCTAGTTAAACAGGATGCATTTGTTTAAGGGGAGGACAAAGCTATCTTGGAGATGATGGTTGGGTGTCAGACTTCTCAATCAGGGTTAGCTTGATAGTTAGTGATATAGACTACAGCATGCTATCTTTGAGTTAGCAATTTTATCTGATAGATGTTGCTTGGCCTATGAACCCTTTGGACAGCTCAGACCAAGACATTAGGTCAATAAAGACTTAGAAACATTGATTGTGGTTTCAATCTTTGGTCAGTGCAGTCCTGTTTTGCATATTTCAACTCCCTGATTATTTTACATGCTAGTTCTCAATACATGTAGGTTCAAAATGATAGAACTTCACTTTTCACAAACAGCCATACTTACTGTAAATTCCATGGGGATTTGCCTAGTTGGGGGTATTAAACCTTTCATCAGTGTCAAGAGAAGTTTCCTCCTACCCAACCCCTCCCAAGGGAATGTTCAGGTGCTTTTAATTATTAACTTGTTTGATGTGTTTGCATTTGTAGGGTCGCCTTGATGATCCAGTTAATCAAGGAATCATTCCTCGCATTGTGCAAGATATATTTAATTACATTTATAACATGGATGAAAATCTGGAGTTTCATATCAAGGTAAATTGTCTTGTTAAAGAAGTTTTAAGTTACTATGTTATATAATCTGAAGTTTTCACGTTCTTGAAATTATATATTTTCACTGTGATGATAATGTACATGAAAAAATTATGTGTGTCTGATTGGCTGAAAACAAGCTCATTCTTATGTAATACAAGTGCAAAGTGCAAATTACAAATAGCATGTGGGTGCTGACTAAATTTACATCTGTCTTGACTCTCTGTGATGTTTTTTTATTGATAACATTATTATCCTGACCAATTTTTTATCATACAATTTGGTGTGATAACACTTGTAAATTTTTTGGAAGACTACTAATTGTACTTGCCCTACAGGGTAGTGCAATTTTGTTGTCTTTGAATAATTTACTTGTGCTTATTAAGACCAAATTGCACTCAAAGTCATGATATTACCTATATTAATGCACTTGTGCTATGTTTGATGTAATAATGTGGTGATAATATATTAAAAAAAACAGTTCAAATAAATACCATCTTTTTGCAGGTTTCTTATTTTGAGATTTACTTGGACAAGATCAGAGATCTTTTGGATGGTAGGATACACTTTTTTATCAGTAACTATAAATTACATATTGTCAGCACAATTCTTGTTGCTTTGCTAAACAAACACAGTATTTAATTTACAATCAATACAAATTGTTCCAGGATGTTACAAGTTTTCCTCTTTTTGGTGTTTGATTGATCTCAGAAGGTGTATGGAGGTTTGACCTCATTGCAAATTTGCCCTTGACAAATTTTGCTAGTTTGCCACACCAAAACTCCAAACTTCTGAAAATGAGCTGAACTCTGACTTTGTCGGCTGTGTTTTGTGTATTTTAGGCTGTTCACATGTGCTTTGAGTTCTGGTTGGTTCTTTGTGATGTTTTCCTTTGCTTTGATTGGCCACAATGGTTCTTTTGATCTACTCTAGTTAGCTTAATTAATTAATGACTCTCAATCTAAACTGTCTTTGCAAAAATCTAAATGTTGCATGAAAGCTTTTCAACAACTCCTGTTTAGTTGGTCAGTATGTTTTCTACTCATTACATGTAAATTGTGTATATCACACATTCTTTTTCCAGTAACCAAAACAAACTTAGCAGTCCATGAAGACAAGAATAGAGTTCCTTTTGTAAAGGTGAGACTTTATCAATGAATTTTGAGTCACATGTTCCTGACTTGAAGGATTAAATTAAATTTTTGTAGCTTTCAAGTTCATACCCTTCATGTCAGAAGTCTCTCGTGCGAGTAAAGAAAAAACAAATAGGTGAAAAAAAATTGATGTTAGCATGCTGCAGGGAATTCTTGGAGTGAGTCTACCTTTTTGTGTGTGTGTAATGTTTTCCTAATTACGTGTATTGTTGGTTCAAACATGGTCATCCACTGATCATATGATAAATCACTTATTGACTAAATTTTGTCAGCCCTGATGGCAAAATAGTTGGTTCTTGGTCATGGTGCAGGAATGTCCCCTCCCCTCCCCTGAACTCTTTTGGTATACCATTGCCCTGATCTGGAGCCAGATATTTGTTAGCCAGCCCTCCCAATCAGTCAACAAGTACATAACATTCCACAAGCAAGCAGGTTATAAGAACAAAAAGCTTATCAACAGGGGGGGGGGGGGCTATCATGATTATAAATCCCTTTTAAACTGGGATTAAAAGGGTTCGATATAAATACCACCCTGATTGAACAGAAGAATTTCAATAATTTTACTTTTTGCAGGGAGCGAGTGAGAGATTTGTGTCCAGTCCAGAAGAGGTCATGGAAATTATTGATGAGGGAAAAAATAATCGCCATGTGGCAGTAACAAGTAGGTCTTCTTTACCCTTTACACCATAGCATCAGTTTGTATTTTCTCTTTACTGTCCTCTAAAGTATTCCTAAGGTGCTGACAAGGAGAATTTGTTTAACAATCAAGAGCTTCTTTGGCTGGTAGTCATTTTTTCTTTAATCTCATTATTATTATTATTATTATTATTATTATTATTATTATTAATTAATTAATTATTATTAATCTCATTATTATTATTAACCTTAATGTGTGATACAAGGGTGATATTGTAAGGAGAAATTAGATGCTAGTCACTCTTAGAGGTTAAAGAGTTTATGACTAAGACAGATTGATCAACCTTGTGTCAATGTCAACAGATCAGTAGTAAGAATGTTGGTGAAATTTAAAAATGGAAGATCTTTGGCCATCTGCATGCTGGACAACAATTTTTTCCTGTTAAGAGAGAAAATAATGCACACTTACTCCATGCAAAATTTTAACAGGCTATCCAAATCTAATGTAAATTAAGTCCTTAAAGACGTGCTCTGTTAATAGGGAAGAAAATGAATCAGCCTTATTGCTAGGGTTTTGGACCATAAATCAGAACATTGCAGTTTGAACTGGCCTTGTTTATACATTGGTTAAGTAGTGTTTATTCCTGTGAAGATTGCCTCTGTATTCATTTCTTTATCTGCAGTTCACATGTAGTATTTTCATAGATTTACAGTCATTTAGTTTGCAAGTTCTTCATACTGTTCTCTGTACATTTCCTATGAGAATTATAAGGAGAATCTATCTAACAATCAAGAGCTTTGTGACTCAGCAATCAGCTTCTTTATTCTCATGATCATAATGTTTGATCAAGGGATGATATTTGGGGAGAAGTTAGATGTTAGTCACTGCTTGCTTCTTACAGATTAAAACTAATGTCTTGACACTGAAGCTAGGAATTGGAACCTTACCATTTTTAATGAATCTTGCCTCATCAGACATGAATGAACACAGTTCAAGGAGCCATAGTATATTTCTTCTCCACATTAAACAAGAAAATGTAGAAACTAATAAGAAGCTCAGTGGCAAGCTTTATCTGGTGGATTTAGCGGGATCTGAGAAGGTTGGTGGAAATTTGTTTTGTAGATACTTGACCCAAGGACATGTTGATGTTACAGAATACCTGTAGTGTCAGTATTGGAGCAACTGCTCACCCACCCCTCCCCCTTGTTTTTACAGGTCAGCAAGACTGGTGCAGAAGGAGCTGTTCTTGATGAAGCTAAGAACATTAACAAGTCACTCTCTGCTCTAGGAAATGTTATTTCAGCCTTGGCTGAGGGAACGGTAAGCTGTTTTCCTTTTATTTGTATCCATGTGATTGTTATCAATAAAACTAGTTCATGTGCGGTGCAAAAATTCTTTAACAAAAAACTTAAATCTGAAAGCTACAGCATAGTTTCCGAGATCTGGAAAAAGGTAGGGAAAGTGATAAAGTTGGAAAAAAATGGAGAGTATATATTTTTCCCTCTGGTCTTTAAAACAATTGGTGATAATTTGAACTCGACTTGTAATGTCGTCTTAGTACAGTGCACCTTGAGAATTGTCACTTAACCTTTGTATGTCAGTAAGGAGATGGAAGTGTAGGGCCAGGCTGCAGTTGGTCTAATGGTGGATAGCGCTATCAACTGAATATGTCTCTATCTGATGGATAGCTCAGTTTGTTTTCTTAACAATTGCCCCACTGGAGAGCAATTTATCCATTTGATAGCATTATCTGCCCTTTGAACAACTGGGCCTAGACAAATGAAGTACATGATAATCATGTTTTATCAACTTGATGGGTTGTGGTATATTCTTGAATCTGGAGGCCCCAATTGTGCACCTTATGTGTTGCAACTCATGACTGTGTTGTGTTGAATTTAAGTTTTCTTTTTATCAATCTTTTCCTTTAGAAAACTCATGTTCCCTACAGAGACAGTAAAATGACAAGAATATTGCAAGAGAGTTTAGGTAAGGCTTAGTTAATGAAATGTATTTGCATGCAACTGGTGTGCTTGATTTGATTTTTTGCTCAGTCCTGTAGTTTTGTTTCTTAAGAACCTTGTGTCTCATTTTTCATTCAATCACAGAACAAAAAATGTTTTCTGTGGATACACATGCATCATTGGATATGGAACCAAACTCAGCAAGTTTTCTGAAAAAAATTTCTATTTTATGTAGGGGACAAGGGCTTGCAATGAATTCTTTTAAAAATTTGCCTAGTTGCTAAAATTGACATGATAAACCAGTGTACAGTGAGCGTGGCCATGCAGCTGTTGCTGTTGTTGTTGTTTTTGTAACATCAGTAACAAGAGAAAAATTTGATCTTGTGCATTGTCATCGACGAGATTCATTGGGATGACATTCAACTATGATTTCCTGGATTGGCCAATCTCTTATGCTTTAATTTTTCTTTTCACAGGTGGTAACGCTAGAACAACCATTATCATTTGTTGCTCTCCATCATCTTTCAATGAGCAAGAAACACGATCAACTCTCATGTTTGGTCAGAGGTACGTTTACTGTTGAACATTATGTACTGTTCTGAAATTTCCAATAGCAGCTAACACCAATAAGATGTAAGGATTATTTAAGGCCCCTTGCACAAAATTGAAAATTTTCAAGCAAGGTGCATAACAAGTAGTTGGGATATTTTTCAAGTCTAGTGTTGCACACTGCCTATAGACTGTAATTTGAACACCTTAGGGCAAAAACCATCAAGAATGTTGTGGTAGTCAACGAGGAACTCACGGCTGAAGAGTGGAAGAGAAGATTCGAGAAGGAGAAGGAAAAGAATTCCAAACTCAGAGGAGCTCTGGGCAGATATGAACAAGAACTGCAAAGATGGCGCGGAGGTAAGGGAGAATTGACAAGCTTTCACCCTCCTTTCCGTGATCAACTTGTAACTTCTCGTTACATCAACGAGGGTTAATTTAGTAGACAGCTTATGAGAATAGACAGACAAATCAGTTCGAGGAAGTTGTAAAGTAGCTAAGGGCCGTAACAAAGATGTAACAAGTGAAAGGTCATCATGAAACATGACAGAAACACGCTATAGTGACACGTTTTAGTGACATTGTCGTTGCGATCGTTTGCACAAATTCAAACCGATTTGAGAAAATACCAAGTCATATCTTAAAGGAAAAGGGCTAATGGAATTATTGCATCTCTCGCAGGTGAGTCAGTCCCCCTTGATGAACAGACGACGAACGCAAAAGATAATCGCAATTCGCAAGTGTTTGAGAGTCTGGCACTCTTGGCTCCATCACAGCCGGCTGTCAGCGATAAGGAGAGGAAAAAGTTCGAGGACGAGAAATCAAAGCTGTACATTCAGCTGGATGAGAAGGTGAATTGAAAAACCCTTCACTGATGTGGCAGGAAAAATACTCCTGTAGCTTATTTTCATCGAAGAAATGAGAGTCTGAAATTGTTCTTAACTGACTTTACAGACAGTTCTTTGACTATGGTGTAACATATAGCCGCAACCATACAAATTCTATATTCTTTTCAAATCTAGAAGGCATTTTATTGGCTGAAACAATAGTTAATTAAAAGAAACTTTGTAAGAGAGATGAAAAGAGGGTGTAGTTTTGGTGTAATATACTGTTTCTAACAATCAATCGTCATTTTCATTTTCATTCAATCCTCTGCAGGATGAAGAAATTCAAAATCAGGCACGATTGATCAACCAGCTGAAGGAACAAATGGCTGATCAAGAAGAAGCCCTTAAGACAACTCAAGTTGACAGCGAAAAGCTCCAGTCGCAGATCTCTTCCATGCAGACTGAGAGCGAGACGTCAAAGACTGAAGTCAAAGAAGTGCTGCAAGCTCTGGAGGAGCTGGCGGTGAATTATGATCAGAAGCTTCAAGAGGTTGAGACCAAAACAAAGGACAATGAAAAACTGTCAGAAGAAGTATCCCAGAAACAGGTCGAGTTTTGTGGCAGTTTATTATATTCACTCACTGTATCTGCTCCTCAGTTAAGTTGCGGTATTCAGTATTCGGTTTTTGATGTTTTTTTTAATTTACACGGGTTTCAATTAAAGCTGGTAACCGGCGTCTGCCGCCACCTTTGAGACCTCTTACCACTGTCTGTGTAGTCTGCGAGCAGGCTCCTGTGTTTGGGTTTGCCTTGCGGTTATTGGAACCCCTAAGTTTAGGTATTTAGGTATCACGCATCTGTTGTTCTAAGGGTGAATAGCGCTATTCATCGGATATGTATCCCTCTGAGGGAAATACTTTTTCTTCAGTGTTTTGAGAGTAAGTCGTTTAGCAAGTTTGTAGAACAACCAGGTCTCAAGTTGATCTTTCCCGCACTGGGCAAGGTTTCCCGCTTTGTTCATTCTGTAAGGTGTCGTTTTAGTTTCGTAATGAATCCTCTTTTCCCAAATCAAAATTGGCACCATTTACTTGAAAAAAGTAAAAAAGGCACTGTCAGAGGAAAATATCTGGCTCAAGAACACAACACATTGCCCTTGCTTAGTCTCCAACCCAGACCCTCTCTTCAAGGAGTCCAGTGTGCTAACCTTCAGCCCATCGTGCTAGCTATCTTTAAACACCAGAGATGCAAAATTGATGTTAAAAACGAAATGAATATCTTTTAACAGATGCAACTCAACAACGTCTCCAAGGAACTTTTAGAAATTAAAGACAGTTCGTCTATTTTGAGGAGGAGACTAGCTGAGATGATGAACAGCCTGTTGTCAGATCTGGTGAGTGTTAACGTCGACACGTCGTAAAGTCGTGATTTTCGAGGGTCTCCACTTCAGTTGTGAATTTAGCTACCTTCGGTGGGTGGATATGTGCGGAACTGTCTGGTCTTGTGGTGTCTTCATAACAAATAAACGATTTATTTGTTTTTCTTCTTCCAGGGCGAAATTGGTAACGTTATCGGAGGAAACGCGGCTGAAATGAAGGTATTAAAATGAGCCCTGAACTACACAAGGATCAATTTTTTTATTATTATTTCATGGACTTTTATCAGTTTTATGATTTGATTGATTTTTTTCCCTTGGGTGTCCTGCGGCTATGAATCAGTCAGAACTGGTTACAATATATACATGTAACTTCTAATTGTCTGTGATTCGAACATTATGTGTACTACATTTTGTGCTTGATTCTATTGATTCTTTCTTTTTTAGAAACCGAATATTGATTGTAGTGGTAATTTGGACGAAGATTTTACCGTCGCCCGACTGTATGTGAACAAGATAAAATCGGAGGTTAAAACCCTTTCAGTGGTAAGTATTGCAATCAACTACGTTCTTGACAGATTAAATTTCCGTCCATTCTGGCAAAGGAATCTACGCTGTTACTTGAATATGCTGTTTTGTGGCCTGCTACATTGTTTATTTAGCTTTTTCGTATTTGTTTATTTGTTTTTATTTCGTCTTTATTACGTAGCGTTCCAGTAACCTAGAGATAACCGAAAGTGATTTAAAGTCGTCACTGGATGGAAAGAACAGAGAACTCAATCAATCACTGCTTCTCATATCACAGGTACACTATTATATTTTGAATCAGTTTCTTTTTCCAGCAAAATGACATCCAGCTATATGGAGAGTAGTAAATACTAGATCTTTAAGATGGCAAAACACACAAGACGCGATTATAAACCAAGAAGATGGAAGGATAGCTAATAATGGAAAAGATTGACACAGATTGCTAAGATGAACTTGAGAAATTGAAGCATGCTATCCGCCAAGTAGAACTTTTCCTTCATCTCTGTAAACTAACGTGTAATCCTACAGGCACTTTGCTTATAGAGTCATTTTCGCTGCAGCTATGCTTTACTTCGCTCTGTGATTGGTCCACAAAACTAGCGCCACTTTCTCAACCAATCAGAGGTAAAACTAAAATCAATCGCGCCTCGGTCGCTCGCGTTTTCCCGCGCTTTACATAGTTTGCCCTCTCATTGGCTCCCTGTGATTTTTGTCTTGTTTTGATTGGCTGTTTCGGTAACTTCGGTAAATGTTTTACGATACTCAATCGAAAGAGCTCTATTTAATCAGTTAATTAGTGATGCTTTTTGGTTTAACAACACTCCACAGACAAGCGCTTTTCTGGAGACAAGGGACTTGTCCTTTGTTGACCCGCCTGTTTTCTTTCTCTTAATCTCAGTATGAAGCTAAGATGAAAACACTCGAAGCAGACATGAAGGAGATGGAATCGAAAAAGAGGATCTTGGAAGAAGCCGTTGATTCTCTGAACGAAGAAATAGCCAAACTAAAGGCAAAAGGTAACGTACAAGATTGTTTGCTCCTAAGATGTAATTCGGAATTTTCCCTTCCAGCCACTTAAAATTGTTACTTTACATTCCTTGCGAATTAGTTAAGAGAAATTAGTGTCGCATCTAGACAACACCCTTTCGCTGATGAGTTTGTCTCTTCTCATTACTTCTTTACTGGATGTTGTTTTGAAATTGTGAGGAGAAGTTCTATGTAATCTCTTCCTGATGTTGAACACATTTTGCAGTAATCGGTTACATGACTTTTACTATTCCAAAAAAAGCAAACGAGTCCGTTAGCCGTAGTAGAAGGAGCGAATGGAAATAACTTGTTTGAAAAAAACCTCGTTTCGTAGCTTCATCTTTTACTTTACTCTACTTATCAAGTAACTGTTAACAATTTGAAAGCCTCTGAAATATAATAGAAGTCCAATATACCTCACACTTGTGTGCGAACATGCAATATGAGACTGAATGTTTTTTTCGACTGATCTATTTAAAGGTTATGATTCTCCTGCAAATTTGCAGACCTTGTTTCGATACATTAAGCGCATGAATTGATGCACCACGAATAATGCATTAACGATTTTTTGCTTAATTCCCGATGATTTTCAATGAGTGGTATGAAAGTTTTATTTTGTGGAACATTCGTTCGTGTATTTTTCTTGGTCCATATTCGACTGTCAGATTAACATCATTCATCTCGCTCTCTGAGTGGCTGTCCCAATTACGAGTGATATGAAAGCTTATACACGTGACCAAATGCGTCTCGTGGATTGGTTCATGAAGAAATAACCGATTAGACAGTTCTCAGAATTGGCATTCCTACCATTAGATGTAAAACATCTCAGGAAATTAAACTTGTAAACAGTGGATTATATTCAGGGAAATAACTTGTCCTACGGGACCTTCCTTCACACAAGTGATCGATGAAAGCTACGGCCCGAATAACATGGAAAATACATAACTTTTTTTCGGTAAGCGTATGCGCTTGAATAAGCTAATAGGGTTTTAAGTGCAACGAAGAAATATACAGGAATGGAAACGCGGTGTAAAACAACGTATCTCCGTGTTCTCTTGTTACATTTTTTGTAAATTGCTTTATTATTTCCTGCGAAGTTGTGTGTCAACCTTCTTCAACAGGCTTTCGTTACCGTTTCGTGACTTGTGACAAAGCGATGGCCGGGTGACTGAATGATTTCTTACACAAATATTTCAATTGTTTTACAGCTCAGATGCACGCTCTGGCTTTGAAAGACAAAGAGGAGGAGCACGCAGGCTTGCTTCACACAGCGGGTGAAATTCAGGTATTACTCTAAAAGATTGCTGTATTAATGACATGTAATCACTCACATATCGATCTAGGCGATCTAGGAGGATTAAAGCATCAAGGAGCCAATCTGGATAAGGCTTTGTATTTTCGGCCAATCAGGTGTCTCGCCTTTTACCGCGTTCACAACCAGCACTAACATATTTCCCGTACTTTTCATAAACAAACCAATCCAGTGAGTTCTTTTTGTTCTCGACCAATCGTGTAATTCAGATCGCGTGCTTTTTCCCGCCTTCGGAATTGGCCGCAAGACATTTCCCTCTCCTCTTAGAAGGGTCGTTCACCGAGAACTGGCCAATCCAGGCGAAACACAGCAAATGACCTGACAATACCAAAGATCAGAGAGCAGAGCTGTTCCTTTTTTTTCTTTTTCTTCTATTTCTCTCTTTCTTTTTTTTTTTTCTTAAAACGCCAATAGGCTTTTTTCCCGCTCGCCCTATATACCTGAAACATTTCACACTGAAAATCACGCGACGTTTAAGAGCAACTTGTCAGCAAAAGTACTGTTGCAGTGACAGGGGCAAATTCTTGATGCATCTTGCATAGATAGAATTAGATGAATTCTGTTTGCTATTTTGGGTAATAAGCAAAGTGGTTTTTTTTTTTAAGTAATCACCTTTTGTTTTCGTTTTTAACCTTAACTTTTTCTTAAACTTATTGAAATTATTTTTTAATTCGCTGCCTTAAGTATTATTTGTGAAACTTGTGCATTATGTTAAAAGGAACTCGAAGGAAAATTGTGCACACTTTTTCCCATTAATCTTCATTGAGACCTGAGAAGCTTTTAGCAGATGAGTTTATCGTGCATTATTGAGCATCTTCCGCATTTTCAAGAAATTTTCTCTGACTTTTCTCTCTGAGAATGAATGGTTTATACGTTAAAATGGGTTTATCTTGAAGTGGCTGGTAAATTTTTTTTCCCAATGAAATTTTGCCTTCGGCTAGCGATAGTTTGGCGACACGTTATAAGTAAACAATCCGGTCTTGTTAAAAACGTTGAACATGAATTCTGTGGTTTGTTTCACAAGGTGCACTAAGTTTTTTTGTAGTTCTTTTTTCTTTTTTCAAGAAAAACTGCGACGTTGTTTGTGCTTTGATGTTGCTCTGTTTTTCTTTGGATTGTGTATTTTAAAGAGCGTTCAATAAAAAGAGAGATCGAAAATAATCAGTATAAGTTAGCATTTGGCGATATGTCACTTAAGAATAAAAGGTTGACCCATTTGAGGGTTATGGCCTTGAATTTCTGTATTTCAACGCATTTTGAAAAATGACCTTTCAGCTAAACAATGTGCTTGATATGTCTGTTGTTTAAAAACGCCTGCACTGATGATTTGACTTGCAAATGATGTCATTTCACTCTCCTCGCAGATTTGTCAAAACACAACACGCAATTTGCCGCATTTAATGCAGAAAACTTGCGTCGATGTTAGCGCAAAAAAAGGCGCCTAGTGTTTCGTGCAAAATGTGATATAAATTCTTCGTGATCCTGCGTGGTTTCACGTGATGTTAGATCGATGACATGGGCAAACACATTCAATACTCTGGCGTTGGTTTTACAAACAAGAACTGTGGTTGGCGATTTTCCGATTGCAGTGAATCCTCAATTGATTGTATCCTAGACTCGTTAAACAATGTTATTGACGAAGTGCTTCAGAACGCAAAGCCCAGGGTTTGTATATAAAATAATTTTGTATGTCGTTTTTTTTTTGTGCGAGGCGACAGTGAAAGTTGGGTTATACCCGAGCTTTCAAGTCGCACAACTGAAACAATGTATGTGAGCCATTAAAGGGCAATTGGATGCCACAATTCTCTTTGTGTATAAAAGAAACATTGCATCAGGCAGATTTTCGCCGTTTAAGGCCTTGTTTTGAATTATTGATGTCAGTGGTTTTAGAAGTTACAGTGAAAAATCTAATTTTGATCACTCACGAACAGAAAGTTTCTCAAATTTGAATATTTCTTGTCGAGCATTTTGTTTTCAATTTGCGTTTTTTTTTTTTTTTAAACAAACGCACATTTGGTTTTTTTCTTCAGAAAAAAAAAGATGTTATTCTTTTCCTTCTTTTTTCTTCTTCCAAAACATAGTTCTAAAAGATTTGTTTTCGTTTTTGAACAATCCACTGTTTGGATTTCAATTTGGTAGTCAGTTCGGAGAGAAGTAGTTAATTAGCCCGACTAGATTTTAATGAAAATACTTGAAAATGATAAGTTTATTTTGAAACCTCGATTGGGATTGGAAGATTAAGTCATTAACATTCAGTATTTGTGAGTTTTCAAGTGTTCTCGCAGAAACCTTTCTCTGCATAACTGTTTTTGTATCTACTTTCTACACACGCCCAGAAAGTGATTTGTAAGTAAATGTTACGGTGGCTGTGATGATTTGGCACATTCTCGATTTGTTATGAGCCGATTGATTTAGTTCCTATTGCCTAATAACTTTTTATCGTGCTCATGTGGCTGATCTTCAAAGAAAAATCTTTTTGTTTTGTATTTGATTGTGTTTTTTTAAATCGTAATCTCTAACCCGGTCGGCGGGTTTTTGACAGAGTGATTCATTGGTTTATAAATAGTCTCTACTGAAAATTTTATAAACAAAGACAGATTACTAGAAGTTTCTCGGTTAAAATATAATCTAAAATTTGTGACGATTCTGGAAATTATTTTGTCTTCGTTGAGGTTTCCAATGTGGGGAAGGACCTTCCAATTCCGTTAATCCTAGCAGGTGGTAAATATTAATACAACCCGGAATTAAAGTATTGTTGCCTCGCACGCGATTTAGACTCGCAACGGTTTCAAAATGTGGTGCTGCCGAAGGAAAGGGTTGAAGCCTTGGCGGATCCTTAAACGGTGTTATTGGGTCTAGAGAAGAATTATTGCTGAAGATTAGAATTGATTTAAACTGATAATAGGTCACGTAACTTCTGTTCTGTCGGTATGCAGAGCTCCAATGTAGGTTCTTCGTGATTTTTGAATTTTTTTTCCCCGTGCAAACTGCTTTACACTTCAAGGATTTTGTCAGTTATTTGTATTCTTGCTTTTTCTTTTTCAAATTCAAGAAACAAATATCATTGAGCACAATATTTCGACATTAACACTACATCGCGCTTCAATATGTCACGTAAAATTTATATTACAACACTAGCGTTACATGGCTGTAGAAGACCCTCTTGCATTTACAAATGAGCGAGTGGTGCCAAACATTACCTACTCTACATGTATTGCAGTATTTTTCTGCTTTCATAAAGTTTTAACAAATAGACCTTGCTCGACACTTACATTATTTTCAGCGTACAGTACTACCTGAAGTCAGTTTTCTACGCTTCATTTTTAAAGTCTTAGTTTAATTTCGGAGAATTCATTTCTAGTGTGTAAGTTATCACAGATCGATGAGCTGGGGAATTTCCTGAGTTTAAAGCGCTCGGTGCTTATCGTTTTTTTTGTTTTTTTTTTTTAATGAAATAAATGTGAGACAGCTAGTGTCCTGATTTGTCAAAAACCTGTCCTTTAATTGCACAGGTAAACCCATAGAGAATTAAACTTTGTGTTATAAAAGCAATAGATCGTAATTTCTATTGGTTTACCGGCGTAATAACCCACCTGGGATGCTGGGAGAACACGAAAGGAGTTTGTAAAACACGAGCCGGTCAGTAAACGATAGAAAGTGCGGTCTGTTTTTGTATAGTTCTTTCTAGTTTAAAGATATAGTGGTGTTTGTGTCTCGTTGCAGTCTGCACTGGAGAAGCAAATGATTAGTCATCGCGAGGCACACCAGAAACAGTTGTCGACTCTCAGAGATGAGATTGAATTACAGCAGGCTACTATTGCATCAATCAAGGAGTAAGTTTGTTAAATGACAACTTACGATAAGAAGTTCGTTCGATTGTAATTCCACGAGCGTGTTCCAGGCGTTCAGAGAATAAAACGAAGCGCGATACTAAACGGCACAATAGTAGCGGAGGAGTGGAAAAACGAGGGAGACTTGAGTCGAGTCGCACAGCCCGACCCAAACCTCCACGCTTTTTCGCTACCATCGCGCCGTTTACTATATCACTTCGTTTTACCAACTGAACGCCTGAAACAAGCTATAATCCGACTCAAGATGTGTGAAGTTCAGGGTGAACTCCTCAAAGCCAATCAGAGACGGCCACCCTCGCTTACTACTATGCTATGCTTTCAGCCAATCATATTTAAGAATTAACCGGCTGCTTTCGTATTTTCTGGTCATTTCATGTAACGATCGACGATGGCACTAATTTGTGTAAAGGAATCTCAGGTCGTCATTAGAAAATGAAGTAGATGTATAATATGAACTGAGTAGGCTGTTGAAAGGGTGGCTTGTTGCAAAGCAAGTGCTTGTCCATGTTGCCCTTATCAGGGGTTCAGGGGCATGTTCCTCCTCCCCCCACCCCCCACCCCCCCTGGAAAATTTGTGATTTGAAACTCTCGGAGACGTTTATTTCTAGCATTCTGGGACATGTTTGAGTAACTTTAATTGACCAGGCATTGATGGAAGAATCAATCCAAAAAGACGTTTCCTGTCCTTGATCTCAATTCACAAGATTCGTCGCCTATCGGTTTCTAAGATAACCTTGCCATCTATTTATTGGTTCGTTTCTTTTGGTCTTTTCTATAAGAAGTGGTTGAATTTACTTGTTGAGTATGTGGTCACCTATTTGGTTGATCTCCTGTTACCATGGCAAATTCTGACGTGTATTTCATATATACCCCATGAAACCTCTCTGAGACCCACTACTGATGCTTCCACCGTTATCTAACGATCAAACCTTTGCTTTTTTTCTCAGGACCAATCAGAAGCAAGGTTTGGAGAGAGATCACCTTATGGTCAGTACTTCATGACTGTATGAATCGCTCTGTCCTGAATGACCATGTTTGGTTATTTCTACTATTCATCGAAAATTTATGGACTTTGTGATGCACTTTAACTTTGCTACTATTGTTGTCGCTGATGTTCATATTTTTTTAAACTTCAGCTTGAAAATGAAGCGCTGAAACGAGAACTTGAGGAGAAATCTAGCCGATTGGCCGAAATGAGGTGAGTATTTGAAACGAGGTGTATATTTGTAAGAGAGAAATACTTTAGATGATTACCTGTTCTTGAAAACTCCTCATTAGATATACTCTTAAAGTAATTTATTTCACGAGAAAGCTCAAAATTTTCCATCTTTCTTATTCTATCTAGTTTCAAAAATATTTTGACATTGTTGATCCTAGTGATCCTACGCAGGACGCATGCCACAATTGAACCTACCAGTACCCTACGTAGCTCATCGTAGATTTTTCTGGCAGTCCAGAAGCAACTCTCAATATCGTGATGTACTTTCTTTGAGGGTTTTTTTAATGTTAAGTTTTGTTCCTCAGCATCCAAGCAGAGAAAAGAGAACAGGCCAAGAAAGACCTCAAAGGACTTGAGGAGACTGTGGTATGTGCATTCATGAAGACAAGAACGCATGCGTAATACGTTATGCAGGGGTTTCGATAAAAGTTGGTGACTGCTGGTCTACCACCGCCTAAAAGACCTCTTATCTCCGTCTGTTTAGCCTACGAGCAGGCTCTTGTGTTTGGTTTTTGCCTTTAAGCCCTTTTCCGGGCACAACCGCCTTGTACACGATTGGCCGCGGCTTCTGGAAAAAGTTATTTGAAACCCCTGATTAGTTATGTGTACTACGATCTTTTCATTGTATTTTCTGACACACAGCTTGTTTTGAAGGGAGTGTTTTAAGTCATTACTTATCGCAAGTCACTACTTGCAAGATAACGACGAAAGTACCTCAGGGTTCATATGGGTCATGGAAAACCTGGAACTTGTCGAATTGAATAAAGCAATTCCCAAAACAGCCAAGTTAGAAATATCTTGAATGATTGTTTTCATTTAAAAGTGTATATGGCGGTTGCATTCTTGATCATAAGTCGTAGTAATCCAGGGTGGTACTAAACCTCTTATGGCGAAGGATGATTCTTGGTGGAGAAAATGGAGTTAGGCAACTTGTCCTTCTCGACACTAACGCCACTTAAAAATTACGACCCTCATACTCAAAGTGGTCTTTTCTTAACATGGTTTAGCAACGTTGTCATTCGTAATCTGTGGAAGGATCTTAATTGAAACCACGACAGTGGTCTAATGCAGACACTCATGTTAACTAAATCAATATTGCTTTCAGCACAAAGAGTTGGCGACGCTGTATCGACTGCGGCAGTTATTCGTCAAAGATTTGCAGGCCCGATTAAAAGTGGTAAGTTATTTCAATCA